CGATTGTCAGCCCCGGCAGAAGCGGGTCGCTTCCTCTGGTGGGGGTGGGGTGGGGGGCCGGGGTAACCCAACGCTTGGAAGGGTTGCTGTTGGGTATGATAAAACTGAGTGACGCTTATACGGATGTATGGAATATTATGAAAAAACCTTTGTTCTGGTAAGCACTGAACCCTGTGACCCTACAAACCCTATCAACCCTATAAAACCCCCATTGTAAACCCTACGAAGCCTAGAAACCAAGCCTGGAAATCCAGGAACCCCTAAACCCCCTCCAAAAAGAAAAACGAACAAAAGCCTGTAAGCCTTAGAACCCTTCAAACCCTAAACCCACCCAACTCTTCGTTCGGGCAGACTGGTCTCAAGACCCGGAACCTTCCACCCTCTGAGACGAGGTGCGGCTTTGGCGCCCGCCGCAAGCCTTTGCGTGAAGGCTCAGGGAACTTACGAAGACTAAGCAGGTAGGGTTGAGGGTTTAGGCTATGAGGGACAAAGTAGGCCATCCGAAGTACAACCTGACTAACGCCCTACTTACTCAGTTCCATGAGCCTTTAGGTAGGGCTTGTAGCTAGGCGAGAATCTTGACATTCATCCAGGGGCTTGGGGCTTAAGGGAGTTGGGGAGCAATTCTCTGGGTCCTGCGAATTCTGGTAGAATCCCATACTTGAAGGGGTTGTCCAGATGGTCGGTTCTCAATATTTATGGTCCCTCTTCGGGTACCCGAAACGCAACGGATTAAAGAAAGGCCATAATTAATGTTGGACTGACTTTAGTATAAGGAGGGTCTATAATCACAAGTTTCGAAAATTTATTCTGCCAACCGAGTTTGTTCAGGGTACCCGCTATTATCATTGCGTTTTGGGTTAAGAGCTTTCGCAGTAAGGCTTGAAGCCCTGAGGGCTTGGGCTCCAGGAACCCTAAAGAGCCAGAGCGCGGAGAATCCAGAAATCTAAGCCCGGCCAATCCCATGTAAAGCCTCATGGAAATTCATTACGAAACGAGGCCCCAAACAAATTTTGTGATAGGTAGCCCACAGGCCCGTCAGACTGTTTTTAGTAAGTTTGTCTGGCTACCCTCTATAATACCAAGCTTTTTTTCGGATGATTGTTTTTTGAGGGTTTGTGTTTTGGGTTAAGGGCTTACGCAGTAAGGCTTGAGGCCCCGAGGGCCTTGGGCTCCAGGAATCTTAAAGGCTGGAAAGCTTCAGGCCTTGAGGTCCTAAAGGCTTGAGGCCCTGAGGGCGGTTCCCCCCCCCCCCAATTTGTTTGGGGGGGTCGCCGGGCCAAATTTTTTTTTGGTGGGGGGGGGGGGGGGGGGGCCATACTAAAGACAGTGCAACATTACACCCTAAACCCTAAACCTAGACCCTAAAGCCTAAACCGACCATGCGAGTAATTCGAGAACTGCTATGGAGTTCGGGCGATTTGCAGGTTGTGCCGCTGGCTGAAAGGCATGCTTAGAGTTTCAGGCTGAGGAAGGAACGCTCAACCCCTAGCCCGGCTTGTGCCCCTCCGTTTAGCCCTGAACCCTATAGTAGGCCCTAGAAGCTTGACCCCGATGATCAATCCTGTTCTAAGTCCTGTTTCAAGGCAAGGCCCAATCATACTCGCAACATTGTTCTCGAAAGCCCCGTTAAGGCTGAGAGTGACTTGGCTAAAAGTTTCGAGGCCCAATCATGAAACCCTAGGTTCCCTCCCCGGGCCTAGGAGGAAAAAGGGCACCCTTTTGGGTTTGCTTAGGATTATACGAGCGAACCTAAATCCCAAAAAGGGGAACAATGGCACTACTGGACATCCTAGAACCTCAGGTCCCCACTCTTGAATTTAGGGTGTGGGAGGCCTGGGCATGTAGCACACGGAGCGAGGGACTACCCCCGCAAACCCATGAAGTGATAGTTTACGGTGACGGTTTGGCTTCGGGTTTAGGGCTTAGGGGCCTAGGGTGTGGTCAGAACTGACCGTTGGGTCGCACCAACTCTCCATGCCCCCTAAATGGGGGTTTCCGAAATTAGAGATGCCTTCTGGGAGCCCTTATGTTTTAGGGAATCCGGGCCTATGTTAGGGGTCCCGTATTTTCGTAAACCCCCAAATGCTGGACTCCTCGCCCTAAACCCTAATCCCTAAAGCGTAAACCCTCGTAGGCCGCCGACTGCCATCCGTCTGGGTAGCTGCCGCGACCGATCGAGCTCTCACCTGGCACCAGCAAGCTTTTTTTTTCTTGGGGTGGTCCCCGGCAACCCTAAACCTTAAACCCCAAACCCTAAACCAAGGTCCCAAGGTTGTTGTGTGTCATGACACTCCCACGGCTCCAACATGACGGGCACCGGCGCAGGTCGCGTAGGTCGCGGGGCTGGGCGAGGCGCTGCCAGCCTTGCCCAGGCGAGGCTTTCAAGGCGTTTAGGGTTTAGGGTTTGGGGTTTAGGGTTTAGGGTTTGGGGTTTGGGGTTTGGGGTTTGGGGTTTAGGGTTAAGGGGGTTTGGGAGTTTAGGCTTTCGAGCGCTTCTGGGTTAGGCCCAGGGTTACAAGAAAGGGTTTAGGGTTCAGCCCAGCTTCAAGGTTCAATTCGGGTTTGAGGGGGGGGGGGGTAGGCAAAGAAAAAGAGTTCAACAATTACTCTAACCTGATAGAACCGTCAGTTTCATTTATAAACCCTGCAAAGCCTCTATGGTTCCGATATGCTCCGATGGCTTTTTAGAGAAGGCATGGAGCAGATGGAGCAGAACACCACTGCCAAGGTTGAAGGAGGGTGACGGCCCTGAACCTAAACACTAAACCTATGACTATACTCCCCTTAGAGCCTTAATGAAAATACTATTTTTAATATCCTCCTGGATATATATATATATATGAAGCCTATAACCCCTCAACCGGTAGCAGTAAGCGCGTTGCAGCAAGGGCAGGGTTTTTGGTGGTGGCTGCCGTGTATCAGTTTAAAATAGTCTAAAGGAACCCGAAACCCCAACAATGCAAAAGGGCACCACCGGGCTTCAAGTTTAAGTTCCCCAGAAAGTCTAAATACCCTATATGATCCTCCAAAAAACCCGGATTCTGTAAGTTTTGGGCCCCTAAAATACCCTATATGATCCCTAAAAAACCTGATTCTGTAAGTTTTGGGCCCCTACCCCTAGGCCCCACCCACGCACTGAGCCCCAAGCGCGGCGCGCAGCGCGCGGCACTCCCCGTCGCGCTCTTCCAGCGCCTGGGCTCCCCCAATCCCAATGCCCCCATTCGTAAACCCTAAACCCTACCCTAAACCCTAAACCCTAGACCCTAAACCCTAAACCCCAAACCCTAAACCCCAAACCGTAAACCCTAAACCCTGAACCCTAAACCCTAACCCTAAACCCCAAACCCTAAACCCCAAACCCTAAACCCTAAACCCTACCTGCACCCGCCAAGCACTTTAGGCCCTAACTAAGGGTACTTGAGGGGGTGGGGGGAGGGGGGGGGGAACGCAGGAAAGCCTTAATCCCGAAACTGTATAATCCTAAGCCGAAAAACCGCAGAGCCTCAGCGAACTTGTTGAAGCCCTAACCCTGTAAACCCGAAACCTGGGTTGCTGTAAGCATACCCCACGACAACCTGAGCTCCCTTAGCCGTCAAGTGCCCATGTCAGTGAGGTAGAAAGGGGATTATGCGATTTGGCCTACATAAGGGGCATTTGGGGGGTTTACGAAAATAAGGAACCTAAAAGTCGAGCCCCAAATCGTAGGATTCCCTTGTGATATGGACCCCAAGAAGGGCTTAGGGTTTAGGGTTTCGGGTTTCGGGTTTAGGGTTTAGGGTTTCGGATACCCCCATTTGGAAACATCCGTGGTTGGGAGCGGGAACTTGTGGAAGCTATTTCCGCCTCCCTTCCGGGGTTCGATGCCAGCTACGCCTGCACATGGCGAGGCACAGACTCGACATCCAATGCCACAGGCGTAAGACTGTGAACGACAACCAAGAAAGATTAGGGTTTAGGGTTTAGGGTTTAGGGTTTATAGGGTTTATAGGGTTTAGGAAGCGCACAGCTTGAAAAGGTGGGATGCCTCGGGTATATCTGAGACGCTGGCGCGCTTCAGCGTCTCGATATCTGTCACAGCGGTGGCCAGAACCACACAGCAAACACTACCAGGCTCGTCTAAAGGCTGGAAGAATTACGAATGGAATGCCCTTATGGTCCCTTATATTTACACTATAGAACACCCCTCCCCCCCCCCCCACCCAAAAAAAAAATATTCTAAGTCTTAAGGCCCCTATTAATCCCATCCCCCTAACATTAAACGGGGCCCCCCCCCCTCCGCCTTTAAACATTCGAAAAGCGTTTTTATTATTAGGGGGTATTCTTATCGAAATGTCATAATTCATTAGACTTCAGGGTTACTCAAGTAATCAACTTAAGTAACCCTCTGAGGGTTTTATTGGTGTTGAGGGGTTTCTTGGAGGCCTGAACCCCCCCCCCCTAATTCGGAATAGGGTTTGAAAGGCGGGGTTGGTTTCGGCAGGATTTTCCGGAAAGTGTTTTTATTATTAGGGGTCCATTTAATAGAAGGGGGAAGGGATTAATCCATGAGTCCTGCAATCGGCTCTCGCCCCCACAATATTAGGTGTAATCTTTTGATATATGAGCCTACTATAAGAATCTGCTATAATTGGAGTGGGGGAGGGGGGAGTATACTAGCGGAGGGGATTACATGTCCGAAAATAATAAGTAGTACCCCTAACACACTGCAAAATTCCACAAACTTCTGAATAGGACCCCCCGCAGTAGCTCCTAATTGTAGGAAACCCCCCCATTGCGGCACGCACGCTCTCGTTTTTCACCTGCGCCCTCGCGGCTCGAAACCAGCAATGGTCCGTTCACAGATGCATTGAATTTCCCGGACCCCTGGGAGGATCAACAAAAATAAATCCCCTTAAGGGTTCCCAAAAATGACCCCAGAGTAGTCGCATAGAGTACTATTTGGGGGTTCCACTTTTTGGATCCTCCCAGGGGTGTGGGTTGAGGCGATCCAACGAGTCTTATCGCTCCCGGCCTCGTCGATGAGGGGGAGGGTGCATGCCGTAGGGGGGCGCTTGAGACCCCCTTGCTGCCTCCCGGACCTTCGGGCGCACGTCACGCGGTGGGCTTGGGCCCCGCTTGCCGGACGTCTTGACGGGGACCTCCCGTGCGGTTAGCTGCAGGCGCTGCTTAAGCCGGTCGCGAATCCTGAGTTGCTGAGTTCATAAGACCCAAAAAAGTGCACACATTCAGTTCTATAGGGGAATTATAGTATCCCAAAAGTGTAAACCCTAAACCCTGAATTCTACACCCTAAACCCTAAACCGTAAAGTGTACTCACTCAGCTACTAAGAATCTCTGCCTCATCACTGGACTCAGACACGTTGTCCAAGCCGTCGTTGAGGGTACCCAGGCCCAGCACATCATCCTCAATGGCATTAAGACTCTACTGATGTTCATGCGCCTTGCCTGCAAATCCTAAACCCTATAAACCCTAAACCCTAAACCCTACACCCTAAACCCTAAACCCTAAACCCTAAACCCTAAACCCTAAACCCTGAACCCTAAACCCTAAACCCTATTCCTACCCACTTTCTTATGATGGTTGAAGCTTTTCTTGCTGTCCTCAATGGCATAGTCCTCATCCGCTTCCTCCTCCTCCTCGAAGCCAGGGTAGAGCAAGAGCGCCGGGCTTGGCGGGCACTTCGCACCTCGGGAAATGAGCCCTAAAAGGGTTTAGGGTTTAGGGCTAGGGTTTAGGATTTAGGGTTTAGGGCTAGGATTTCGGGTTTTGGGTTTAGGGTTCATAGTACCTTCATAGGAATTACTGTAGTCTGGGGTATATGACCCCAATGTTAGGGTTCCTGTGGTCTCCAGGGCACTCTTCTTCTCCTCACGAAAGACCCTCTCCCCAGTGAGCTCATGGACGCGCGCATCGGAGATCACCTGAGGTTAAGCAACCCAGGATGGGCGATTAGGCCTTAAGATCCCCATAATGAACCCTAGCAAGGGGCCTTTTCAGGGATTATAGGGTATAATAGAGGTTCCGCTACCCAGGATGGGCGATTAGGCCTTAAAATCACCACAATGAACCCTATAAAGGGCCCTTTTAAGGGATTATGGGGACTACCCCCCCACTATACCTACAGTACTTGTTGTGGCTATACCTCCTAGCTAAGCGTCAGTAAACACTAATCCTAAACCCTAAACCCTGAACCCTAAACCCTAAACCCTAAACCCTACACCCTAAACCCTAAACCCTAAACCCTAAACCCTAAACCCTAAACCCTAAACCCTAAACCCTAAACCCTAAACCCTAAACCCTAAACCCTAAACCCCAAACCCTAACCATAAAATTCGGCTCCCGGCCTCCACCCGGTACTCTTTGGCTCGAAGGTGGGAGGACGTCGACCGCACCCGCGCGGGTGAGGTGCTCTCTGCCGGAGGCGCCTAGGGTTTAGGGTTCAGGGTGTAGGGTTTAGGGTTTAGGGTTTAGGGTTTAGGGTTTAGGGATTAGATTCTGTCACTGAACCCCCAAGCGCCTGAGCCCCCCAAACCCCCAACCCCCAAACCCCAAACCGCCTTCAACGCCAAAACCCTGACAAAGGGAGAGAAAGACCTTTGAGAGGCAGCCATAGCCAAGCAGCCACAATGCGAACTGGGCTGCTTTGCCTGGACGGAGGTAAACCCTTAAAACCCTGCACACACCTGCAAAGTACCAAGTTCCCCAAGATCCCCAAACCGGTAACCCTCAACGCTAAACCCTCAACCCTAAACCCTACAGCCCTAAACACTCTCGTTAAGGCAGGGTTTGGGTTTTGGGTTTGGGGTTTAGGGTTTGGGGTTTAGGGGAGAAGGGGACAAGGGGAGAAGGGGAGGTGCTTCAGGGGGATATGACCCCCCTTGGAAGCTCTGTTGACTTAGTAAGTCTACTTAGTATCCCCTACAAGCCCCCTTACTAACCCTACTTACTAAGCCAAAAGAGCTTCCAAGCAAAAGAGTCCAAAGGGTTTTTGGGGGTTGCGCCTTGGCTGCCTCTGCTGGGTCGGCGGCGAGGATGGCACAGTCTGCAGGAAGGTCACTGCTTACTAATTTTGAGCTAGGGTTTAGGGAGGGTTTAGGGTTTAGGGTTTAGGGTTTAGGGTTTAGGGTTTAGGGTTTAGGGTTTAGGGTTTAGGGTTTAGGGTTTAGGGTTTAGGGTTTAGGGTTTAGGGTTTAGGGTTTAGGGTTTAGGGTTTAGGGTTTAGGGTTTAGGGTTTAGGGTTTAGCGTTTAGGGTTTAGGGTTTGGGGGTTGGGTTTGGGGTTGGGGTTTGGGGTTTGGGGTTGTTTAGGGTTTAGGGTTTAGGGTTTGGGGTTTAGGGTTTAGTTTAGTTCAGTCCAGTTCCATGTACTACCCCAGACACCCCAAGAAGAGCCAGTCATTTGATCAACCTCCCTCTTCTCCACGTAGCATCTATAAGGTTCCACAACACCACTGCCCTCAAGCCCCCCACCCCCCGCCCGAAGTCCTGAAACGATTGGCCGGGTTGCAGGGTTTACGTCTCTGTTTGGGGTTAGGGGTAAGGGCTTAGGGGAAAGGGTTTAGGGCTTATTGTTTTGAATCCCTTCTCCCTACTTCAACCCATCCACCCACCCACCCACCACCCCATGCATGAGAATTAAACTCTCATGTATTGTCAAGCAAGTTTCGGGGTTTCAATATAGGAAAAGGCCCCAAGAAACCTGAATGTTAGCACTGAACTAACCCCTACTTTGGGAACTTTGGGAGGAGCCGGGGGGCGGGGTGGGATAACAATTCGAGGGACGGGATGAAGGCTGTTTGGCTTTAGGACTAGAACTCTAAGGTTCAGGGTGCAGGGATCTTCGGATCTAGGAGTTCGGGGTGTAGGCTGTACATGATCGTCGTGCTTGCGGCGTCAGGGGGCATCTCATGTCTCGTGTGGAGGAAATAAGTTTGGACCCTGCCCCCCCCCCCCCGTGGAAACTGAGGAGTTCAGGGAACCCTGCCCAAAAACCCAAAACCCCTCAAGCCCTCAAAAAGGCGACAAACCCTAAAGCCCGAAACCCTGAACCCTCACCGGCTCCTCGTTCAACTACCCTAAACCCTAAACCCTAATCCCTAAACCCTAAACCCTAAACCCTAAACCCTATAAACCCCAAACCCTAAACCCTAAACCCTGAACCCTGAACCCTGAACCCTGAACCCTGAACCCTAAACCCTAAACCCTAAACCCTAAACCCTAAACCCTAAACCCTAAACCCTAAACCCTAAACCCTAAACCCTAACCCTAAACCCTACACCCTAAACCGTAAACCCTAAACCCTAAGCCCTAAGCCCTCAGCCCTCAGCCCTCAGCCCTAAGCCCTAAGCCCTAAGCCTCGTTCAACTCATCCAAGGGGGCCGCCCAGCTCGGGCGAGGGCGCTGGCAGTCAGGCCTGGGTCCTGCAAGGATGCGAGAGCGTTTAGGGGGTTAGGGCTTTTGTTGGGAGTCTGCTCCGCGACTTAGGGCTTTCGGGCACACAGGGCCCACACTCGTTTCCAGCCTACGGAAGTCTCTGCACTCAAGCCCCATCCACCATGACACATGAGAGGTCTTACGATGAACCCTGGACCCAACGCGTTCTGAAGCTACTTCAGGAGCTGCAGCAGCAAACCCGGTCCTGGTCCCCCTTGGCGCACCTCTCGTGCCTCTCGGGGTGGCGGGGACGTCGTCGCGTTGCGCCGGGGCGCCCTGGGGCTCTGCCCGCGCTGTGGGTGCCGGTCGTTGGCCGCGGCATTCCCGAAGGGGCTCCAGCGGTTGCCCGAGTTGCCGGGGAGTTTCGGATAGTCCGCCGACCGCGAGGTGCGCAGCGGCCTCAGCGGCGCGAGGGGCCTCCGCTCGTGCACGGGGATGGGCGGGACATGGCGCGTCTCCACCCGAGGCGAGGTGACTGCGCGTGGAGACGGGGACCTGCGGGGTAGGTTTGAGGCATTCGAAACATTCGGGACATTCGGGACATGCCGGTCTGCGCGGCCGGGCTCACGGGCCCTCTCCGTGGGCAAGTCCCTCGCACTCGGCGAGACCGGAGGCCGGTCCGCAGCCGCCGCGAGCGCCGCGTTGCGGCGCCGGGCCTCCTGCAGCTCCTTGTCCTTCAGCTCCAAGGCCGTCTTCAGCTCATCTCTCTGCGCCTGCGCTTTCTCGAACTCGGCACGCCAGCGCGCGACCTCCTGCAACAGCTGCGCTCTGCTGTCCTGGCCCTCCAAGCGCAAGGACAGCCGACGGCTGCCATCCACTCGGGAGGTGATGGGCGTTGGCAGGGCGACTGCGGTGAGACGCTGGGAGAACTGCAGGGAGTGCAGGGTGTCGTTCAGGCAGTCCCTTGTGGGTTGGAGAGTGACGATGACCACCGTGCGACAATGCTCCGCCCCGCCCAGGGCATCCTGAAGTAGCTGCGTGAGCTTGGAGTTCCGGTAAGGCACGTGGGAGACTCGCCGCTCCTTGGCGGAGATGACATCGGCCAGCGCGCTCAGCGAGCGGTTGATGTGCTGTGCCTTCAAGACCAGATGCTCCCTAACAGTGGCCTTCTGGGTTAACACTTACTTCATGACAAAGTCACAACATGATACTTATCGCAGCATGAGCATACTTCATACGGTCCCACTTCGTACATGGGGCCCCGTGATTTCTACAGGGTTTTTAAGGTCCCTTTTTCCCCCTTATGGCGCCTCTCTCCTCCGCTCGCCCACCGCTTCGCTGCGCTTCAGGCGTTCGCTGCCCGCCAGGTCCACCAAGCTCAGCTTTCCCGCCTCTGGGATGTGAAACTTCTCGAGGGCTCAAGGCTGCTTTCTACAAGTCTTTGCGAGAGAGAGAGAGAGAGAGAGAGGGGGAGAGAGACATAAATCAAAATAAATAAATAAATAAGTAAATAAATAAATATATATATATATACATATATCGATTTTTTAATTTAATGCATATAATATGCCAATTTCATAATTAGTTGGTTAGTTAGTTGTTTAGCTAGTGGGTTGGCAGGTTAGCTACTTAGCTGTTTCGTGAGGCAGCGAGTGGGGAACTAGACTGAAGCTTCTGAGAAGGAAAAGGCTCCCTAAACCCTAAACCCTGAACCCTAAACCCGAAACCCTAAACCCTAAACCCGAAACCCTAAACCCGAAACCCTAAACCCTAAACCCTAGCCCTAAACCCTAAACCCAGGAAAACGGCCCCTAAAAAAACAGCGCAGGGTGGTCTCTTCGCCTCCCTCAAGCAGCCGGTGCTCACGTCGCGGCAGCCCAAGAAGAGCATCATCACCTTGGTAGCTAAGTAGGGTTTAGGGTTTAGGGTTTAGGGTTTGGGGTTTAGGGTTTAGGGTTTAGGGTTTAGGGTTTAGGGTTTTGGGGTTTAGGGTTTAGGGTGTAGGGTGTAGGGTTTAGGGTTTAGGGTTGAGGGACATTATAATAAGGGCACCCTTTTTTTGGTTGGCTACACTCTAAGGGAACCCAGAACCAACAAAAAAAAAGGTAAAGGGTACCACTGGGCTACCAAGTCACCAGGTGGGATCGGGAGGACCGCACGTTCAGTGCCGTGTTGAAGGTGGCCCGGTGGGCCTTCCGTGGGTTTCAGGGGGAATTTTGGAGGTCTCGGCTTTGAGGCCACAGCGAATCCTGAACCCAAAGCCCTTTAAAAAACCCACCGAAACCTAAACCGAAAAGGGTTTGGGCTTTAGGGTTCAGGACTTGGGGTTTCTGGTGCAATCCTGAAGCCTCAACACCGAAAACCCCAATCCCTGCATGTACGGGCCTTGAGTAATGACAGGGTTTTGGGAGTTGTTTATAGTATGCTTGTGAAGGGACCATAAAGGAATACTATTCGTAATTTTGTCTGACCCCGATAGTACCCAGTGGATTTTCGAAACGGGGGCCTGGCCGATGCGGAGCACCTCCCCAAGCATGGCCGCAATGCCGCCACCCGTGTCCGTCGAAATAAGGCAGGTCCTGGGTTCAGGAGCTGTTTTGTTAATATCGGGAGCTTGGGAGTTTAGGGTTTAGGGTTTAGGGTTTAGGGTTTAGGGTTTAGGGTTTAGGGCTTAGGGCTTGGGGCTTAGCCTACTGACGGGCTCGTTCGGCCTGCAGATGGGCTGAGTGACTGCATTGAGGGCTCAGCGGAGCCTTCAGGAAGAAAAGGGTGCCCTTTTGGGTTTAAGTGGTTTTATAAGAGACCCTAAACCCTAAAAAAAGGGAATAAGGACCTACTCTAGGTCCTAGTTCACTAAACTTCAGCTAAAACACCTGCTTCACCGTCAACCCTAAACCCTGAACCCGCTACAAGCCACTATGAACCCTAGACATTAAACCCAAAACCCAAAACAGACCTAAACCCTATTATACTTAAACTTCCAACCCCCAAACCCAAAACAACCCTAAACCCTAAACCCTACACCCTAAACCCCAAACCCTACACCCCAAACCCCGTCACCACACCGAGCGGCCGGGCGCCCAAGAGCGCGCTGCCCGAGCCGCAGACGGAGAGGCGCAGGCGCCGTGCCGAACCGCACGGGTCCGCGGCGAGGAGATCTCGGAGCTGGTCGTTGTAGATTTCCACCTGAGGTTTAGGGGGTTGGGGGTTTAGGGTTTAGGGTTTAGGGTTTAGGGTTTAGGGTTTAGGGTTCAGGGTTTAGGGTTTAGGGTTTAGGGTTTCGGAGCTTCGGGTTGAGGGGCTTAGGGTTTAGGAGGTGATCTTTAGAGGGGTTTATGTCGGGGCTCGGGGGTTCAGGATTTAGGGTTTAGGGCTTTGGGGTTCAGGGGCTCACTTAGTAGGGCTCTAGGGCTTACGGCTTCTGTTTCGGAAGGGGTTAGTGGTGTGAGGTTGAGTGAGGCTTAGGGGCTTTAGGGGGCCTCTTAGGGTTACTAGGGGCTCTTAAGGCCTAGAGGCTCGAGGGTTTGGGGCGTAGGGTTTAGGGTTTAGGGTTTAGGGTTTAGGGTTTAGGGTTTAGGGTTTAGGGTTTAGGGTTTAGGGTTTAGGGTTTAGGGTTTAGGGTTTAGGGTTAAGAGGGTTTGGGGTCAGACCAGGATTTCCACTAGCCCTTAGGGCCCGCTGAAGATATCAATATAGGGCTTCGGGATGAGTGGGCTTCAGGGTTTAGGGTTTAGGGTTTAGGGCTTAGGGTTTAGGGTATAGGGTTTAGGGAGAGCTTTTCTTAATGATTTTCTAAGTCTCCAGCACATGTCCATTCGGGTTTTTTGGGTTTAGAGAGCTTGAGGATTTGTTAAGAAGATCCTTAAGGGGCCTCCAACCTCCGAGACCTGAACCCTAAACCCTAAACCCGAAACCCTAAACCCTAAACCCTAAACCCTAAACCCTAAACCCTAAACCCTAAAACCCAAACACAACCCAGGGCAGCCCACCAGCTGCACCGTGATCTCCATCTTCATGCCATCCTGGGCGAGCGCCACCGCCTCGGCAAGGTTCCAAGGCTTCAGTAGGGTTTAGGGTTTGGGATTTGGGGTTTAGGGTTTAGGGTTTAGGGTTTAGGGTTTAGGGTTTAGGGTTTAGGGTTCCGGGTTTAGGGCATTAGGGTTTAGGGGTGTACAACTTAGGAGTCTTAGCTTCGGGGCTCAGGGTTTTTGGAGGGTTTTGCGCAGTCCTGGGTTTGGGTTGGGCTCGGCAACCCACGTCAGGACGAGGACGAAACTAGACAACCGGTTTAGGGTTTAGGGTTTAGGGTTTAGGGTTTAGGGTTTAGGGTTTAGGGTTTAGGGTTTAGGGTTTAGGGTTTAGGGTTTAGGGTTTAGGGTTTAGGGTTTAGGGTCTTAAGCGTAAGAAAATCAGGGGCCCACTGCCTAAAGTTCAGAAATGAGAGGCTTGTCCCAGCTCTCACTTTCTTCAGCCAAGGTTTTCTTAAGCAGCGTTGTCGCTGTGGGAGTTCAGGGGTAAACCCTAAACCCTAAACCCTAAACCCTAAACCCTAAACCCTAAACCCTAAACCCTAAACCCTAAACCCTAAAGGGGGCAGTGAGGGTTTGGGGTTTGGATTTCGGGGGGGGGGGGGGGTTTAGGAGCTTCGGACTTGGGGGTTGAGGGCTTAGGTTTTGTCGTATAGGGGGGGGTTTAGGATTTGGGCTTGTTTTGATTCAAAGAGGGGTTGGGTATTTTGTGGTTCGGGGTTTAGGATCTACCCCAAAACACGTATTGGCACGAGCCCTGCAGAATCCTGGGGACATGGTACCCTAAACCCTGAAATCCTGAACCCGAAACCCCAAGCCCCAAACCCTAAACCCTAAAACCCTGAAACCCCTGAAATCCGCCTGGCGTTCCAGCTCCCGCGCCGCGCGCTGCGCGAGGTTCCTGAGCTCGTCGCTGTCCAGGCGACGGGGCTTACTTAGAGGTTCATGGTACTTATTAAGCTTAGGGTTTAGGGTTTAGGGTTATAACTGTACTTTATAAACCACTTATAAGCCCCTTAAGTGCCCGGGTTATAAGTACAGGTATAAGTGCCATAAACCTCCGAGTAGGGGTTCGCAGGAGCCCTGAGAGAGAATAAGGGTGCTACGTTATGGGGAGGAGTGAAAGGTTTTTTGCTTGAAGGGTTCGTAAGCTCAATTGTTTAGGGGTTTAGGAATTAGGGTTTGGGGTTCATAGGGTGGCATAGGGTTTGAAAGGGCTTATGACGGCTCATCAGGGATTGCAAGGATTCGCTTAGGAGGGCTTGTGAGGGGCTGTTACGGGTCTTGAACGGCTTGCACAGGTTTAAGCTTTTGAGGGTTTAAGATAGAGGGCTTAGGGCTTATTGAAGGAGAGAAGAACGCTTGTGAGGTTTTTGGGTACCTACACGTTTTTGAAAGGGCTTTATGTGAGGGTCTACGACTTAGATTTTGAAGCGAAGGGGGCCCTAGAATTGAGGAGCTCAAGGCTTCGAGTCTCGGGTTTCGGGTTTAGGGTTTCGGGTTTCGGGTTTCGGGTTTCGGGTTTAGGGTTTCGGGTTTCGGGTCTAGGGTTTCGGGTTTCGGGTTTCGGGGTTCGGGTTTAGGGATTGCTCCTGAATCGCAGTTACCTGCCCCCGTGCCGCCGGGCATCGTGACCGTGTGGGTCTTGCCGCTGCCGGTGGCGCCATAGGCGACGATGCAAACCTCGGGTCGCCAAAGGGCGATCCACAAGGCCACTACAAGGGATAGGGGTTTTAGGGTTTTGGGCTATGCTTGGGTTTAGGGCTTAGGGTTTAGGGTTTGGGGTTTAGGGTTTTAGGTTTGGGGTGTAGGAGGTTATATATATATATATATCCATGAGGCCAGGAAGCTATGAGAGTTGGGATGTTCCCCTGATACTAACAGTCCTAATAAGGATTATAGTACCCCCTACTATAATGCCGAGTGAGGACTGCTAGTATAAAGGGGGTCCATCAATCTATAAGGGCTAGCGGCTAGGGGGTCAACTAGAATGTAGGTTTTAGGGCTTCGGGCTTAGGAGGTCCATGAGGGCTTGAGAGGCTTTGTAAGAGCTTTGGAAAGGCATCCCAATCCCAAATGGTAGAAGGCTGCATGCTACACACTCAGCACCGAGCTGAGGGATTCATGGTACGTGGCCGGAGATAGAGTCGTGGGGTTTGGGGAGCTCGCAAATAAACCCCAAAACCCTAAGCCGGCAAGGAAGGTCGTCAAAGCTTTGCTAGGTTGCTCCTTACAAGCCCTCTAAACACGTTGTCCTCGATTCTAGATCTGAGCCCTCTTTGAGGCCCAAAAAAAGTGAAATATACAATCTCCCAAGAGCCTATCTAGCTGTTATTGCCTCGGAACAGATTCCCCGCCGACAGCTGCATCCAACTCGTCCTGTGCGCTGCGAGGACGAAACACCAAACCCCTAAACCCTAAACCCTAAAGCCTAACCCTAAACCCTAAACCCTAAACCCTAAACCCTAAACCCTAAACCCTAAACCCTAAACCCTAAACCCTAAACCCTAAACCCTAAACCCTAAACCCTAAACCCTAAACCCTAAACCCTAAACCAAACATTCACTAGGGGCTCATGGGTGCAAATCCGGTTCGTTGGATCTAGCCTACCCCGCAGCCCTAACTCTACGTACCCTGATGCCTGAGCCCGGCAGACCCTACTGCCTACAAACATAGGGTTCAGGGTTTCTGGTTTAGGTTTAGGGCATTGAGTTTTGAACCCTAAACCCTAAACCCTAAACTCTAGACCCTAGACCCTAAACCCTAAACCCTAAACCCTAAACCCTAAACCAAACGCAAGAGGTGTCCTGCACGGCTGAAAAGATATCATCATCCGTAGCGGTGGAGTCGAAGAGGTCATCGAAATAGAACATCCGGGACTCCAGGTTCGCCTCGCGAAGGAGGGTGTTGTTGAGGGTTTAGGGTTTAGGGTTTAGGGTTTAGGGTTTAGGGTTTAGGTTTAGTTTAGGGTTTAGGGTTTAGGGTTTAGGGTTTAGGGTTTAGGGTTTAGGGTTTAGGGTTTAGGGTTTAGGGTTTAGGGTTTAGGGTTTAGGTTTAGGGTTAGGGTTAGGGTTAGGGTTTGTTTTTTTTTTTTTTTTTTTTGGGGGGGGGGGGGGTTGACCCAAGCCCCAAGAGTTTCGGGGTTGCGGGGTTTAAAAGCACAGGGCCTCAGGGTTCAGGGTTCAGGGCTTAGGGCTTACGATTTCGGACTGCCCTCCCTACACCCTGATCTCTAAAGTCCTCTTTGGGGCCTCTCCGAGGCCGGGGGAGGATCTGCAGCCGCCAGTGCTGCGCCGGGACCTCGTGAGACCGGGATTGGGGGGGGAGGGGGGGGCAGTTTAGGGTTTGTTCAGTGGTTTAGGGTTTAGGGTTTAGGGTTTAGGGTGTAGGGTGTAGGGTGTAGGGTTTAGGGTTTAGGGTTTAGGGTTTAGGGTTTAGGGTTTAGGGTTTAGGGTTTAGGGTTTAGGGGCAGGGTTTAGGGTTTAGGCTAGGGGTTAGGGCGTAGGGCGTAGGGCTTAGGGCGTGGGGCGTGGGGCGTAGGGCGTAGGGCGTAAGGCGTAGGGTGTAGGGTGTAGGGTTTAGGGTTTAGGTTTAGAGCTTAGGTTTGATGAAGTCCGAGTTAAACCCTACAACACCAAACCCCAAGCCCTACACATCAATGCTGCAACCAAACGCCTAAAACTGAACCTCTGGGATGGCATAGGAATTCTGTGAAGGTTTACGAAAATAAGGGGCCCCCTGATATCGACCCCAAAAAGTCGGATTCCCAAAAAAATAAGGACCCCAATAAGGTACCCCGAATTTCGGAAACCCCCCATGCGGTCCAAAAAAACGGTTTTGGGTTGAGGGTTTAAGTGTTTTGCAGACTCTAAAGCCCGAACCTAGGGTGGAAACCCAAAACCAAAACCCTAGAAACCCTCGAAACCCTCGAAACCCTCGAAACCCTAAACCCTGCTCCAGCATGCTTGACCCCTGAAGTCCGTATGAAGTCTGGCAGCTCCTTCAATCAGGATGGGTACTCTGGGTTGGACTGCATGTATGTTAATGTATGTAAGGACTATAAGGGGATAGTGACCCTAAACCCTAAAAACCCTGAGCCCCAAACCCTAAATCCTACAAACCCTGAAACCCTAAGCCCTAAATACACCCCAAACCCTAAGCCCTAATTAAGCCCTGAACCCCAAACCTTAAACCCTAAACCCTAAAGCCCTAAAACCCTAAGACCCTAAAACCCTAAAACCCCAAAACCCTAAAACCCTAAAACCCTACAACGCTACAACCCTACAACCCTACAACCCTACAACCCTACAACCCTACAACCCTACAACCCTAAAACCCTGAAACCCTGAAACCCTGAAACCCTAAACCCTAAACCCTAAACCCTAAACCCCTAAAACCCTAAACCCTTAAACCCTAAACCCTAAACCCTAAACCCTAAACCCTAAACCCTAAACCCTAAACCCTAAACCCTAAACCCTAAACCCTAAACCCTGAACCCTGAACCCTGAACCCTGAACCCTGAACCCTGCACCCTGAACCCTGAACCCTGAACCCTGAACCCTGAACCCTGAACCCTGAACCCTGAACCCTGAACCCTGAACCCTGAACCCTGAACCCGAAGTGAAGGCAGGGCTCTGCTCCGTAAGCTGGGCCCGGGGTTCCTGGAGCACCTGCAGCTGCTGGCGGTTGATCACCTGAGCTTCGGGCTTCTTTGGGAGGCTTTAGGGTTTAGGGTTTAGGGTTTAGGGTTTAGGGCTTAGGGTTTAGGGTTTAGGGTCTAGGGTCTAGGGTCTAGGGTCTAGGGTCTAGGGTCTAGGGTTTAGGGTTTAGGGCTTAGGGTCCAGGATTTATGGCTTTTGGCGGAGTGAGTACATCAATAAAAGCATGAAACCAAGGATTGACAACAGCCCAAACATTTGAACTCACCACTCCTTGAAATCTATTCACTCCTGTCTCACCGTATTATTCTCTTGTCAAGGGCGTCTTTTACCTTGTGCACTTTCCTCACGCACCAACCATCCCAACAGTACACCCTCAACATCTGGGCTTTTGGTCTTGGTATTCACTCCCTTGTTGTTACCTTCATTCACCGGGGAACGCAACCATGTGATGAATGTGTGCATGAAACCAACCATGTGGTCTTGTGCTTCAATCTCTTGGCCTTTCGTCACCCACTTTGAGATTGTGAACACACCTTAAAGACCACGCTCACTACGTTCATTCACCTATTCACTTCTTTCCATTGCATTCTTTTCCTTCACTCCTTTAATACCGTGAAGCGAATGCAATTACAAGTAAACGAAGTGAATAAATGAACGAGTTTGCGCGTGAATTGCATGAACGAAACAAAACCAGCTATTTACTTTCATAATCTTGTTTGCGTTTGTAATTTAATTGTAAACTTGTGCACGAATTAAATGAGAAAAGCGCACACAATACTATTAAAGTGAAGAGAACTAAATAACCTCACAGAATCTCCCATTAAATTATTACGTGAATGAAGTGAATTAAATTAACGCAGTTCATGTACTCACGCTACATTCACACTAATAATTTGCCCTTTAATTTTATTTGCATGGCGCACGAAATAAGGCTTTTGTACTGTGCGCCCCTAGCTTCGTTCATAATATTCACCCCGGCTTTCATGCGTCCTTTTAGTCCTTATAAAGCCGGGTTAATATTACGAAGAGAATTCTATTTCAATGGTGTTTCAATGAACGAAGTGAAGCGAGAACACAATGAAATAGAATGAACAAAGAGAACGTAGTGCACGCCTCACAAAAAGACTTACTATTTGGCGTGCATTATTATTTTCTCTATTTTTCTTCTTTCTTCATTCCTTTCCTAATTTTGCTTGTTGTTCAATTGAGTTCATGCGTCATTCATATCTTCACTCCTTATAACTCAATTAAACAAGCAAAGTAAGAGAATTAGAATGAAGAATCCAGTAAAATAGTATTACGGGCGAGTGAAAAGATCTTATGTTCGCCCGTACTACGTTCATAATATTATAAACGCCCCTTTAATTTTAGAATTCTTATAGAACTTTTTACAAATTTTGTTCTCTTTTACGCGGGCACGAAGATAACGCACGCATGCATGAATTTATCGTGCGAATTAACTGTGCCCGCTAGTAATAATGGTGTCAAAAATGCTAATTTCCTGTCTTCGTTCATCATTATTATTATTTGGTAAGACATGAAGATTATAAGGATAAAAATCTGCTATCTTAAAGGAGTTCATGTGCTCTCTCTCTTTCACATAATTTAATGACTTTTAAGAGAGCTCTTTTACCCCCTTCATTCTATTACCATATTATTCTCTTGGTAATTATAGTATTTTATTACAAGTGAAGAGAATAATATAATGATAGCGGGCAAAATATAAATTAAAACGAGCCCGCATAAATATTTTGTAGACAATAAAATTACTGCAATTCTCTTCGCTTCTCTTTTTATTCATCTTTTCGGCATTTTATTTCATTAGAATTATTGCGAAGAGAAACCAAATACTAATTATATTTACTAAAAGTCCTTTATAATGTACCTTCGTTATAATATGTAAAAAGACAATAAAATATACTAAAAGTGAAACACAGTTATAGAATTGCAAATGAAATGGACGTAATAATTTCTAGAAAACAGAAAAATGATTGGTTTTCTCGCGCTTTCATTCTTTATCCGCGCGTATTCAATATTAAAAGTAGTTTGCAAGGTATGAACGGTTAACACTTACCTTTCCAGTATAATAAAGTGTGAAAGGAATGAAGTGAGTGAACACGCCAGTAAAATAGTTGCCTTGTTTCACGCTTTCATTTCCTTATTATCACATTTCTTTCTTCTTTTTGTTCGTTTGGAAATAAATTTACGAAGTGTATGATTTTAATGCGTGTTTATAATCTTCATACTAATTATCTGGATTTGTTCTCTCTTTATCTACAGTTATAGCATGAAGATACAATATTATGATCATGACTTCGTTCTTTTAATCATCAAATTAGTGCTACCTTTTGGTTTACTTGTTCGCGGGGGTTGGAGGCCTTCTGGGGATTTAGGGCTTCGCCCTAAGCCCCGTAAAACCGTACTAAACCCAACATCAACCCAAAACCCGAAATTTCGGGGCAGAGAAGGGAATGAGGGAATGAGGGTCCTATATAATCCTTTAGAGGGTCAAGTTTCGAGTTTAGGATTCAGGGCTTTAAAGATCTCTTGGCTAGAGAGCTGGGGCCAAGCGCGCACACCAAAAATCCCGGGAATGATATTCCCAGAAGCCCTGAACCTCACCACCGATACTGTTGTTTCAAACTTGCCAGCTATTGTGCAGCTCAACACGGCATCAACACAGTAGCAAGTGACACGTCTTGTGCAACATAACTATAACCCCTAAACCCCGACAACCCTAAAACCCAAAGAGGACATCCCTAAACCCGTAAACCCCCCCCCCAAAAAAAAAAACAGAACCCTACAACCCGAACGTCACACCCAAACCCTGAACCCGCTTGCACCTGCAGGGGTGACCCCGGCGTCTCGTGGTGGAGTGCTGGCCGCACGCGCCCCATGATCCTTGTTGCAGGCGTTGGGCTTCGGGTTTTGAGGTTGAGGGCTTAGGGGTAGGGTTCAGTGTTGGCTTTTGGTTTAGGATGTAGGGTTTGGGTCTTAGGCTTTCAGGTTTAGCTTTGAGGGAAGCCTAAAGCCTAAACACTAAACCCTAAACCCTAAACCCCAAGCCCTAAACCCTGCAGATTCTAAAATTCAAGGGTGGGACTTGGCGCTTCTCGCGCGCGCGCGCGCGCGTCGTTTTGCCCAGAAGGCTCAGTCGGCCTATGCCCTAGGAACCGCTACAAACCCTAGGTAAACCCTGTAAACTGTAAACCCTATAGAACCCTGTATAACCCCGTTAGACAAAAACTGTCAACCCTATATAAACCTTTCAGAACGCTATACAAAAACCCGATATTCAACGCTGTATAAACCTTGTAAACCCCCTAAAAAAAACAAACAAAACAAAACAACTATAAACCCATAAGCATGAGCCCCATGGGCAGCCAAAGTGAAGCCAAGTGAGGGCTTAGGGTTTAGGGCTTAGGGTTCAGGGATTCGGGTTTAGGGTTAAGGGTTCAAGGGTTTAAGGGTTAGGGCCCAGGAAGGACGGATTGGACAAATTGGACAGACAGTGCAAGCCCTGCCAGCCTCAGCCTGTTTTGTCTCAACTGTAAACCCTACAAACGCTACAAACCCCATAAACCCAGAAGCATAGACCCTAAACCCTATACACCCTACACCCTACACCCTAAACCCTAAACCCTAAAGCCTCGCTTCTTCATGGTCCCAGGCTCCGGATCGGGCCTTTCAGCTGGCGAGTCGCCTCCGGGCTTAAGAGTGCTTTGAGTTTCTCTCGAACACTAAGCCACCTCCAAAGGCCTTACGAACCCTAAACCCTAAACCCTAAACCCCAAACCCTAAACCCTAAACCCTAAACCCTTATGAACCCTAAACCCTAAACCCGAAACCCTACTAAGCACCAGCAAGTTTAGGATTTTGAGGCCCGGGCTTAGCTCGTTGACGGAAGCTGCTGAGTTGCAATGGTTGAGGGTTTAGGGTTTAGGCTTAGGGTTTAGGGTTTAGGGTTTAGGGTTTAGGGTTTAGGGTTTAGGGTTTAGGGTTTAGGGTTTAGGGTTTAGGGTTTAGGGTTTAGGGTTTAGGGTTTAGGGTTTAGGGTTGGGTTAGGGTTTAGGGTTTAGGGGTTGGGTTTGGGTTTGGGGTTTGGGGTTTAGGGTTTAGGGTTTAGGGTTTAGGGTTTAGGGTTTAGGGTTTAGGGTTTAGGGTTTAGGGTTTAGGGTTTAGGCTTAGGGTTTGCTCCTACCTATAGCTCGAAGGGCTTTAGGACGACCCCTAAGCCCTGCCGTAACCCCTCATCTCTCTAAAATGTGGTCACTTTTAGGCCCTCAACCCGAAACCGCAAGCCCTCAACCCTCAACCCTGAACCCTAAACCCGAAACCCTACAAATTCCCTAAACCCTCCCCCCACCCAGGATTTGGCATTTCGGGTTCGAGGCGCAGGGTTGAAGGTCTGGGTTTCGGGCTCAAGGTCTGGGTTGTAGGCTTGCTGGCTTTAGGGGCTAGGGTTCGAGTTCTGTGGTTCTAGCCCTAAACCCTAAACCCTAAACCCTAAACCCTAAACCCTAAACCCTAAACCCTAAACCCTAAACCCTAAACCCTGGGGTCCTAGGGTTCCTGGATTTAAGTTTTAAGACTCAGGGCCTAGGGTTCAAGGCTTGCGGTTCATTTAAACCAAGATGCTTCCTTAGTCTTATGGGATCCAAGGGGTGGGTAGATATTCGACACCAGAGTAGCGAGCTTCGCTCGTGTCATGCCTGCACTTGAGATGCTGAACCTTAAGCCCTAAACCCTAAACCCTAAACCCTAAGCCCTAAGCCCTAAACCCTAAACCCTAAATCCTAAACCCTAAACCCTAAACCCTAAACCCGCTTGGGGCTTAGCGGCGCCTCGACGCATCTTTGGCGCTCCACGACCGCGCGCGTCGAGGGGTCACTGGTGGGGCACTGGAGTTCCTGGAGCGCCTGGATCAAGGGGTCCTAGGGTTTAGGGTTTAGGGTTTAGGGTTTAGGGTTTAGGGCTTAGGGTTTAGGGTTTAGGGCTAGGGTTTAGGGCTAGGGTTTAGGGTTCTTAGTTGCTGAGTGCAGAAGCCCCAAAAAAGTGTACACTTTCAGGTCTCTAGGGGATTATAGTAGCCCAAAAAGTGTAATGTGTACTCACTCAGCTACGACCCCTAACGATGTACCCTTAGAGGTTCCCCTTAATATGCTCCGAATGTGGCTCTTCTTCCCGTAGAGGATCTTGAAAAAGGGTCCAAATCCAAGGGTGCAACCTCAGGGGTCCAAAATAAAGTCCTGGAGGCTTGGGGGGTCTTTAGGAGGCTAAGGGCTTAGTTAGGTTTTCTTCGGGTGTTCAGGGTTTCTGGCTTCTAGGTTTGCAGGGCCAAGGGGGGGCTTTTGAGGGGTTTGAGGGCTTGCTGAGGAGGTTCTGTCTCCCGCTCTTAAGGGTTCAAGCTTTGGTGACATGTTAGTCGGTCATAGCCGCATGGCGCCCTCAATTGCAGGGTCTAACCCAACGAGCAGTTCATTGGGGACACCTAGACGCCTAAACCCTAAACGCTACACCCTACACCCCAAACCCTAACCCTGACCCTGAGCCCGAATTGAACCTTAAAGCTGAAGTGAACCCCAAACCCTCCCTTGTAACCCTCAGTTTCAACCCTAAAGCCCGAACCCTTGCCCAAACGCCTAGACACTTCCGGAAGTTCCGGTGAAATCCATAAACCAACAAAACGCCTAAAGCCCCTAAACCAACAAAACCCTAGGCCCTAAACCAAACCCCTACACCCCAAAAACCTCTAACCCCCCAACCCCAAAACCCTAAACCCCTACACCCCCAGAAACCCCTCAAACCCCCAACCGGTGGTGCGAGCTGTTTGATCGTTGATGGCCTGTCTTGATATGGATGTCTCGTGGTGCTGGTGTACTGACCGACGGGGTCTCCTCGCCTTGCGAATATGGGGTTCGCATTCTAACCCTAAAACCTAAACCCTAAACCCTAAAGTGTCGGATCTCGTCTTGTTGTTGGCGAGCCTTAGATCGCTGTCGCTGTGGACCGCTGGAGGTTCAGGAGGTGGAGAGGGACTCGCTTCTGGTCTCGCTTCTGGTCTCGCTTCTGGTCCGGCTGAAGTTGTTCGATACGATTCACCATTATCAGCTTCCATGGGTCCCAAGAACTTTCGATTTCGGCCCCAGCACCCCGAAACCTGAACCCCTCAAAGCACCAAGGGCACCTAAGCCCTAAACCCCAAGTCCTGGAATCTAAACCTTACGAGCCCCTAAACCCGAAACCTGAAACCCCCTACCACCCCCCTGTAACCCCGAAACCTGAGTACCAAGGAAACCGTGCCACACCCCTAAACACCCCTAAACACCCACTATCACCCCTCAAAGCACAGAGGAAACCCAAACCCTAAACCCCAAACCCGAAACCCTAAACCTTACGAGCCCCTATAACCCCGAAACCTCAACCCAAACCACCCAACAAACCCTAAACCCCCCCCTAAAAACCCTTTGAACCCCAACACCTCGAAGCCCCAAACCCCAAACCCCAAACCCCAAACCCCAAACCCCAAACCCCAAACCCCAAACCCTAAACCCTAAACCCTAAACCCTAAACCCTAAACCCCTAAACCCTGAACCCCTCACACCCACCCGAAACGAAGCCGGGCCTCCACGAGTCGGGCCTTGTTCCTGGCCTCCCGGTCCGTGAGGCTGGAGGCTGTGGTGGCATTGCTGGACCTGGGTTTAGGCTAAACCCTAAGCCCTAAGCCCTAAGCCCTAAACCCTAAACCCTAAACCCTAAACCCTAAACCCTAAACCCTAAACCCTAAACCCACCAGGAGCCGGGTTGGAGGGTTTAGGAGCATAAGGAGCTTGGGGGTTGAGGGTTTAGGGGTTTTGCTTAAGGGTTTAGGAGTTTAGGGTTCAGGGGTTTGGGGGGTTTAGGGTTTAGGGGTTTAGGGGTTTTGGGTCTTTAGGGTTGAGGAGTTTAGGGTTTAGGGTTTTAGGGTAGTTTAGGTTTCAGGAGTTTAGGGCTTAGGGGTTTTAGGGTGTCGGGTGTAGGGCCCAGGGGTTCTACGGTTGAAGGATCCGGGTGCCCCAGCGGCTTTGGGGTTTAAAGTTTAGAGCTTTACGGCTCAGGCTTCAGGATGTACTACTAATTGCTTAAGAACCCCGAAAAAATAAAAAAAATAAAATCATCCCTTATTAAAGGTAATATAGGGATTAATATTCTTTATTCTTTTGGGGTTGTGTAAGGTTGAAGGTGCAGGGTGTTAGGACTTAGTGGGGTTTACAGGGGGCCTATACAGCCCAAGAAATTTTGCACCCACGCTGCGCGGCGAAGTCGGCCATGGCCCAGCGCTCGGAGCCGTCGCTACGCGAGGCGGCGAGGGCGTCCATGGCCCAGCCCAGGCATAGGGAGGGGGGCCTGGGGGGTTCAGGGGTTTACGGGCTCAGAGGTTTAGGGGTTTAGGGTGTGGGGCTTAGGGGGTTTGGGAGGAGCTTAGGGCTATTTTTGGCGTTGAGGTTGCGGGTTTGTCTGTGCGGGCCAGAAGATCGTGGTGGGGCCGTGAAGCGGTGAGTGTTGAGAGTTTTGGCTGAGCTTCTGGATGCCGACCTCTCCTGGTGTGATCATGGAATGAGCGTTTGAGAGGGGGACATTCGCGCGAAACCACTGAACTCCAAGCCCGCCAAAGGGATTTCCAGGTTAAGGCGAGGGTCATCTATTTGGGGGCTGTTTCGACTACTACGAATATTGATGGTGATACTGGCGAGTTCATCCCAACCCAAACCCCAAACTGAACCCCCCATCCCTAAACCCCGGGTATCCGCCTGAGCCTGCGTCCGAGAGCTCCACCACCTCTAACAGGGTTGAGAGGAGGCTAAGGGTCTAGGGATTTGGTGATTTTTGGGTTTAGCCCTAAACCCTAAGCCCTAAACCCTAAGCCCTAAACCCTAAGCCCTAAACCCTAGACCGGGACATTTAGGGTTCAAAGGGCTCCCGAGGCATTAAGACTTCCGGGGCTTTGGGGGCTCCTGCTGGGATGGGGGCTTACGGGTTTAGGGTCACAAGTTGAGGGTTTGAGGGTCTAGGGTAAGTTTAGGATCGAGGATTAGGGTTGTAGGGTTTGGGGTCGAGGGGTTTTAGGGTCAGAGTCATAGTTTTTTTTTTTTTTTTTTGGGGGGGGGGGGCGCACGGAGGAGCCAGGCCTCTTTCTTGCTCTTCTGGGACCCCGCGGGCGAGACCTTTGACGCATGTTTGGATTTCATAGGGGCTTGCGGTTTCAACCCTAATTAAACCCTAAGCCCTAAACCCTAAACCCTAAACCCTAAACCCTAAGCCCTAAGGCCCTAAAAATTGGAATAAGATTTCTTAAGGTTTCGGGCTGTTTGTTTTAGAGGGCTTGGGGCTCCACAGGCTTCAGGTTTTCCGGCTGAGGTCTCAACAAAAGCTGTGGTAGTCGATCAAAGCAGGCAGACTCAAATCACTGATGCGGACACAACCCTAAACCCTAAATCCTTAGCCTAACCCTGAACCCTGTGTGGCGTTTTCACGGCTGGGAAGTGCGCAGAAAACATTGTAGAGTGCAGCCACAGCTTGGTTTCTGGGTGTAGGGTCTAGGGTTTCGGGCAGCAGTCTCGGGCTGAGGTCGGCAGATCTGTCGGCCAACGCCTTCAAAAAGCTCAGCTGGAGGAGCTGGCTCAGGGGGCTTAAATGTCAACGCAATCCTATCAGCCTTTATCAGGGCATCGAATCTTGCACTCAGGACTATGTTTCATGGAATCGAAAGCACTAATAATGCGTTCAAGCGTTATGTGATTTTGCACGCCCTCGAGGAGGATCAGCAGGTGACAGTGAGCTGAAGGGTATGTCTAGCGCTGTGATAGCCTCAAGTTTGGGATTCTGGAACTCCCGGAGTGCGAGATCAGCTGCGGCCTTTAGCAGGTTTCTGTCGCAGGGACATGTACCTCCGCAAACGGCACCACGAAATCAAGCTGGAGGACGTCCCATCTGGCTCCGAAAGCCCGTGGATGCCAAGCCAACTTCGGTCAACAACTTGATGCAATCCCTACAGTGACAGCTCCGCTGCAAACAGCAACCCTAAAACCCTAAAAGCCTAAAACCGTAAAACCCTAAAACCCTAAACCCTAAAACCCTAAAACCCTAAAACCCTAAAACCCTAAACCCTAAACCCTAAACCCTAAACCCTACACCCTAAACCCTAAGCTGCTCCACTCATGAACCCTCCGGTTCCTGCTCAAGACAGGGTGAAGCGGAGGCCTACAGGTGATTTGCCCATGCAGACTGAGAACCCCTCTATAACTGAAGGTATGTATGTTGCTTACTTGTCCCTCCCCTCCCATTTCGACGACTTCTTCACATTCTTGGTGGCCAGCGCAATCTCAGCAGCAAGGGGAACGCAAAGTCTACCGGCGGCTAAGAGCGTGAATGCGCAACCCACCAAATTCGTGAACCCGACAACGGCGAGACCAAACTCTAAAGGTCCTACCTGAACCATAAACCCCACATCGCAAACATCCAACCCCCTAGGCCCTCTAAGCACAAAACCCCTAAACCCTAAACCCCACAGCCCCCAAAACCCCAGACTCTAAACCCCTCCGAACATCCCACGCCACCCCGCCGCCGGAAAAAAAGATTGACCCTGGAACCCCGAACCTCCTCCTAAGCCCTAAGCCCTAAGCCCTAGGCCCTAAGCCCTAAGCCCTAAGCCCTAAGCCCTAAGCCCTAAGCCCTAAGCCCTAAACCCTAAACCCTAAACCCACTTCAAGGACCCGCGCCGCCCCGGCGGCGCCGGCCGCCCGGCGCAGCATCTCCCAGCAGAGCTCCCGGAGGAGACGGAAGGCCGAGAAGGCCTAGGGCTTTTTGGGTTTTGGGTTTTGGGTTTAGGGTTTAGGGTTTAGGGTTTAGGGTTTAGGGTTTAGGGTTTAGGGTTTAGGGTTTAGGGTTTAGGGTTTGGGGTTTAGGGTTTAGGGTTTAGGGTTTAGGGTTTAGGGTTTAGGGCTCTAGGGCTTTGGGGCTTTGGGGCTTTGGGGTTTGGGGTTTGGGGTTTGGGGTATGGGGCTTGCATGCCTCAAGGTCTTGGACTTAGGGTTTAGGTTCCGTGGTCCTAGGAGTTAGGGTTGAGGAGTGGGCTCTCTCTGGTTTAGGACGCTTAAGGGTTTAGGAGGGTTTGGGGTTGAGGGTTTAGGGGATTCTGGAGCATTTTCTGGTGAGGGGGGGTCATCTCACAGGCTTTAGGGCTTTTGGGGCTTTTGGGGGCTTTTCGGCTCGAAGCCCTTGGGCTTTAGGGCTCCTAAACCCTAAACCCTAAACCCTAAACCCTAAACCCTAACCCTAAACCCTAAACCCTAAACCCTAAACCCTGCAACTCACCGGGTCGCGCACCTCCTGCAAGGAGGAGACGACCAGGGAGGAGCCGCCTTTCCCGGATGGCGCCTCCTCCTTGGGGGGAGGCCAGGTGTTCGATCTGAGGGGGAGAGGGTTTAGGGGTTTAGGGTTTAAGGTTTAGGGCTTTGGGTTTAGGGTTTAGGGTTCCGAGAATTGGTACTGTAAGGGGATTCTGGCCATATTTAGGGACATGCCTCATGCATTCAAGACTCAGAGCCCAAGGTTGAGGGAACCCTGGCCCCCCAAGTCGCGTTGACGGAACCTGGGCAGCCGCCCCCTGAAACGCTGACAATGGACTGTGTCGCATGTCGAAGGTCGCTCATTGTGTCCTGTCACTGCCTTATGCCTTGCATCTCGCGTCTCGTGTCTCACGTCGTATCATGTGCTGCGTCTCGCCTGGTGTGCGAGTTGCGTATCGGTATGTCACACACCCAAACCCCAAACTTGCTCAACCCTTGTTGAGGGTTCGACCTACGAAATAGGGGGTACTTAGTACTAGACTGTGGGTAAATAGGGTCCCAGGCTCCCTAAACCCTAAACCCTAAACCCTAAACCCTAAACCCTAAACCCTAAACCCTAAACCCTAAACAGGGCTTGAGGGTTTAGGATACAGTGTAGTCCCAGGCAATTATTAAATCGAAACACCTGACCAGAAGCCAAAGCGGACTCCTCGAGGAAGGCTCGGGCTCGACCTCGGAGCTCCGCCTCAGAGAGGGCCTCAGAATCAGGGGTTCCCAAAGGGCCCAAGACCCCTTAAATTCAGAGTTTAGGGTTTAGGGTTTAGGGTTTAGGGTTCAGGGTTCAGGGTTCAGGGTTTAGGGTTTAGGGTTCCCAAAGAGACCAATTCAATACCCCTTGGATAAGGAAATACCTGCGGATGTTCGGCAGATCCCTAACTACCTTGGGATATTGCCCCCTTATACGAACAGTCCTTAATAGGGATGATTGTAGTACCCCTTCAATAAGGAATATACCTGCAATCATACTGCGGATCCCTGAAACACATGGGGTTGTTCCCCCTGACACTAAGAGTCCTTTATAGGGACTACAGTACCCCCTACTAGAATCCCTATCAAGGACTGTTACTATGAGGGGGAACATCCCACAATATACCTTAAATCATACTACGGATCCCTATTTTAAGGTAGATTCCTTCAAGGGGTTGCGGGCTCTTTGGGTTTAGACCTTCGGGTTGAGGAGTTTAAGGTTTCGGATTTGGGGTTTAAAAGGTACATGTATGGTTCAGGGATTAAGGCTCAGGGGTTTTGTGGGTTAGGGTGCGTTCAGCCTTGAGCTGGGGAGTCTACTCGTATCTCTCAGTTGTTTAGTGATTGTTTGGGGATTGGGTTGAGAGCCCAGGGCTCTGAATCCCATGCATGAGCCCATCAAGAAAAATCAACAGCAGGAGCACAGGTTCCTCATTGGGGGTTTTCGGGGCCAGGAGGGAGCTGGTTCGTCTTTGGGAGTTGGGATGTTCCCCCCTTATGCTGACAGTCCTTAATCGGGATTACAGTAGGGGGGGGGGGGGGGGGGGGGGCGTTATTATCATCCCTATTAAGGACTGCTAGTATAAGGGGCAACATCCCCCAAGTTGGGAGTTTGGGAAACACAACCCTAAGTTCTTTGTTCCTGGTGAAATGGTTCGCCCCCTAAACCCTAAACCCTAAACCCTAAACCCTAAACCCTAAACCCTAAACCCTAAACCCTAAACCCTAAACCCTAAACCCTAAACCCTGAACCCTAAACCCTAAACCCAGGTGTCATGTGCAAGACGCAGATGTCGACTCAAGGGCTTCGGAACCTCCTTGATAGCCTCAACTCTATACTGAAGGAACTTGGAACCCTAGCAAAAACTACATGTTTAGCTGTTTCTTAGGAAGTAAAGTGCCCAAAAGTTGAAAGTTTTTTTAGCTGTTTCTTAGGAATTACAAGTGCCCAAAAGTTGAAAATTATTACCAGGTATCCCCAAGAACTGAGAAAGCTCCTCTGG